AACTGCATACATGATTAGCAATAATACCACCAATCACTACTTTATGTTACACTACAACTGCATACATGATTAGCAATAACTACCACCAATCACTACTTTATGTTACACTACAACTGCATACATGATTAGCAATAATACCACCAATCACTACTTTATGTTACACTACAACTGCATACATGATTAGCATTAACAAAATATCTCAATTTAATATTTAACTAAATTTTTAATGTTATGTGTGAATAAAATTAAATATTATTTGCCAACTTACAGTTGTAGCATTCTTCCCCTTCCGGCAATATTAGTTATAAATTTAATTAAATGTGTTTGCAGTTTTTACTTGGGAGTTTCTATATCCTGTTCAGTATAACTGTAAAAGTTCTATAGTCAACTTTTATGCTAAATTATGATTAATGTTTTAAGGTTAAAATGTTGGTTGTTCAGTTAAAATTTGGTAGAGCAATAATAATATCATTATTGATTAATATTTACATTCTGATTTCACTTTTTCAGATATTGATTCCATTATTACTGGCACATAACTATAGTTTATTGATTACATAAATTCAAATTTGTCTTCCCCTCCCCTCTAGGTAATCAAACTATAGAGAAATTGTAAAATGCCTACATGAGTTTCTTAACTCAAAGACCAATGAATAATTCATATATTTCATAAATAGGCCAACAACAGTTTTATGTTAATAACTAGTATGACCTTGTGACCTCCCTTTACATTTACTGTATTTACATATAAGTATAATAAACAGTCTTAAGTGTAACTATTAATAACAACCAATACTGGTTTTATTATTCATTTAAATGCAAGAGTGTCTGTCATATGAAAATCATGTTCGTTGTTGGAATCTATATTATGATAGAGTCCTTCTTATCAATAGTTCCATCACACTCCTGATCTAGATGTTCAGATATTTGAAAAACTACCAGCACTAGGCTGTAAATGCTCTTTTATACACTGCTCTAAACAATACATGGTTCATCCAATATAATCTGGTGCACATCGAGAGCAAAAATATAAATAAAGCACAAGTGTTGAAGTTTATTAATTCTGTCCTTCATCTTTAAAAAGTTTTCAATTCTAAATAATTACTTTGAAGCCACTCACACTGAAATTATTGATGCTTGATTTCAAGATATTTTTGATCTTATTTCTTAGCACATTAACTCTCTTTATATAATAAAGGAAGACTGACATAAAATGACAGATTGAGCACATTAAAATTCCCTTATGAGGGGTGTACACTTCATTTAAAAACTTTTTAAAATCTATAACACATTTTTCACACTTTCTGTTCATGAAAACAATGATAGTTACTAACAATATCATAAGCTCCATAAAAAAAGATACCAAATTATACTTGCATTTAACCTGGTCTAAAACTATCAACATGACTATACAATCATATACACATTGGTTTATATGTTTTATTTCTTATGAAAATAATGATGGTTTCTGGCAATATCATAAGCTCTATAAAAAGATATTTATTAAATTATAGTTGCATTTAACAGATATAAAAATATCAACATGATTACGCAATCCTATGTACATTATTTTATGATATATTCCTGTTAACTGAATGATCTCTAGTTATCAATTTCTTACTTGCAACAGTATGTGATACAGAACTTCCAATACAGAGCAAAATGTCAGTGGCAATATATGATACAAACTTTTAATACAGGATAAGATGTCAATGGCATTATGTGATACAGAACTTTCAATACAAGGATAAGATGTCTGTAAAATACACTATACAGAACTTCCAATACAGAGAAATATATCTGTGGCAATATCTGCTACAGTACTATCATTACAGGCAAAATGTCTGTGACAATATGTGGTACAGATCTTCCAATACAGGACAAGATGTCTGGGGCAATATGTGGTACAGATCTTTCAAAACAGGATAAGATGTCTATGGCAATATGTGATACAGAACTTCCAATACAGGGCAAAATGTATATGGAAATATGTGTTACAGATCTTTCAATACAGGATAAGATGTCTATGACAGTATGTGGTACAGATCTTTCAATACAGGATAAGATGTCTATGGCAGTATGTGATACAGAACTTCCAATACAGGGCAAAATGTATATGGCAATATGTGGTACAGATCTTTCAATACAGGATAAGATGTCTGTGACAGTACATGGTACAGAATTTCCAATATGGGGCAAGATGTCTATGGCAATATGTGATACAGAACTTCCAATACAGGGCAAAATGTATATGGAAATATGTGTTACAGATCTTTCAATACAGGATAAGATGTCTATGGCAATATGTGACACAGAACTTCCAATACAGGGCAAAGTGTCTATGGCAATATGCAATACAGATCTCTGGATATCATTAGCTGGCTTTTTAATCAGAAACTAAGTTAGATTTGTTCAGTCCATTTTGAGCTGAATTACATTTAGGCTACTCTACTCTAAATTCTGTAAATTTGAGCCCTAGATTTCAAACTCATAAGATCTTAACCTTAAAGTTGAGTATTTTCAAGAGAATGTGATTCCTAATGCCAGATCAGATTTATTTTTAGGCTTAAGTATTTGTGCCCTTTTATTCCATAAAGTATTTACCTTATTTGAGTACTTCAACAAATGTTTATAAACACATACATATTATTACAAGGCTGCAGATTTTGTTAAGCACATTCTAGAATAAAATTATGTAATTCAAGCATAAATAAAGTATTAAAAATTTACTAGACATCAATATAATAAAACACAATGCAATGCAGAGGTAAAAATTAATTTTAGTAATTAATAGATTTTTTGGTTAATTACTGGATCATTAAACCTGACTTTTGTGCAGGTGATAGTACTAAAAAATGCCATGTACACATCCAGTTTGAAGATTCAGCTATCTCACTAAAATATTATTTCTTTAAAAGGGAAAATGTTACTCTTTAGTGTCTTCTTCTGTTCTTAAAACACAGAAATGAAAATTAGCCATAAACATGGATAACAGATATTCAACCACTCAAAACGTATTACTGCATTACACAGTGTAAACAAGTTTAAAGTACAAGTGTTAAAAATTCAGCAGCTTTTAAAGCACTTACATATATTCAATGGTACAAGAAAGAATTTTTGAGTTAATAATGAATCTGTTATGACTTTACAGAAAGATTCCATAAAGAAGACTTGCCACTAAAATATCCTGTGTTTTCATATCTTTATCAGCCACAAAATATGCAGTGTGTAGACCTGGTATATGACATCTTTGTCCCATTGTCCAAAAATGAATTCCTAGTAAAAAAATACTTAAGTTATATCATCGAAAAAATACATATAAAAAAAAATTTGGAAAAGAAACTTTATAAATTCTAGTAATTCACGGTATTTATTTTGTTTACTCCTAAATGTTTTTCATTCTGCCACTTGAAGCTGTACTGTCTGAATTTTTACTCTTCAAACCCATAATTGTTTGTGCATTCTGCTGCAATTATTTTCATGATGTCCTAATAATTATTACCATACCTTATATAACTTCTAGTCTGTTTATAAAAGGTGGATAATAACATGGTTTGGATTAGTTTTCAGCCAAAGGGACATAAATGTTATTGGATACTGTCACTGTCCAATGGGGAAATTGGGATTTTTGGCCAGACACTGGCAGTGTCCAGTCAGGTTTGAGGGGTTAATCAGTTGCATTCAAACAGTAAAGTGCTCCTGACAACATGGTACAGTTCCCCTGTGATGGTTATCAATAAAAAAACAAAAACAAAATTAGGTATGTGCAAGCAATAAACATTTTAGAGCATCTGCATTATTCTAACATGATGTTAATATACCATTTTCAGCTAGATTTTTGTTTAAAGTAATTTCAAATTATCCTTTCTTTCAAATGATAACATTTGGAAGTTGTTATGTCAACAAGAAAATCTTGCCACAATGTTTTAAAGGTTATCTGGACATTTCTTACTTGGCAACTCACTAGTGTTGACTAGAAACGACCATGCAGTTGTCTTTTTTTTCTTAAGTATGCAGTAATTCCCTATAAATCTTGTGTTAATCAAATAAATTGATAATTAAGTAATGAAAACATGTTATATTATTTTATGTAAAACATGTTGTAATTGTAATTCAAGTAGCTAGTTATCCAAATTATTTATGATGGTTTGAATAGGATATACATAAAAATAATATTCAATAAATAAGAATTTGAATCCTCAAAATATTTTGCAGTCACATGCTATACTCACAATGTTTATCTGATTTGTTGATGATTTAATTTTATTTGGTGAAGATGATAAAAAAAAACTCATGTATAAAAATGCTGTCACTTAAAAAAATCATCTATTACAAACATGAAGAAAATCGGCAGGTCAAGCTCCAATTGGACTAGAACCAACTGGATAGTCACCGGTACTGTTGGCAATATGAGGTACGTCGTCAAAAAAAAAAGATGAGAAGAGGCACCCTGAGAAGAAGGGACAGGTAAGGGTTGGGAAGGGGAAGGATGGGAAATGGTAATAGGTGGCATATGGGGCTCTGACTGAGACAAACATGCAACAATATTGGTAAGGGTAGATTGTTTTTGGACCGATGCCACCCTTGTCTCTAGTGTTTCCGGGATTGTGTCAAAAATGTATCACCATAGAAATGGAGCCATACATAAGTCCTGAAAATAAGTCGATGGTAAACAGACCTGAGCCAACTTTGCATCACTACCTAGAAGGTCTCAACAATAGAGAAACCACGTATGCAAAGCAAGAGCCAAAGACGACAAATGAGCTAGTGTGGAAGAAAGAAGATAAAGGGTATCCCCAGAAAACCCCTCTGGATTTCTGTGGAGAGCCTCAGAGAGGAGGTGTAGAGAAGAAAGAAACCATAAAAAAGTTGTAAGATGCAGGTGAGAATACTGGTCATTGATCAGACTGACAGATGATTCAGGAGCTGCCCCCAAACAGGCAATATGGAATTAACAGCTGTTAGTCCAAAAAAGGAATAGTGAGTACAATTGTATGAAAGTGCAAACTGATCTGAAGCCTGCAGGAGGTGAAGAATACTAATTCCATCGCATAATTGCGAGGCAAATTGAACAGCATGAAGCCAACTATCAGGGGAGGGAGGAAAAACCAAAAAGGTATGGGAAGATTGGTTATGTAGTAAGTAAAGATGTGGCTCAAAAGAAATAGGAAAAAGGGATAAAATGTCACATACCCAAGAAACAAATCCAAAAAGACCACATTAGGCCTAACTGATTTCTCAGGCGGGGGATGGGAAGGTACGGCAAAATCAGGAGGCAGAAATAGACGATTTAAGTCCATGTCAGTCTGAACAGGTTCAGCCTGTTCCGGAGGAACAGGGGCAAGGTCCGAACACAGAGGCTGGCCTTTCTAGCGGATAAATGTAGATAATTCTACCATCGGGTTGCCTGCACCTGAGGCCTGAGAAAGAAGTGATAACATGAACTTCAGAATTCATTGTGAATTGTAATAATGAAAAAGAATAATGTGACTGGAAAAAGTGGAAATTTTAGCAGTTGAGACTCTAAATTAAAAGTTTATTTATGACCAATCAGTGTAAAGAAAAAATTGTATTTTGCACTGGTTTTCATATTTTTCAACTTTTCATTTCACTGTACATTGAAGATTTTGCTACAGTTAATGTTAAGGTAGAGGAAATAAGAAAAAATTATAATTCGGGGAGTTCTACAGGTTACGAAAATTAAATTATAAAACTGAGAGATGAAAAAGTATCTTCACTCTTGCATGAAAATCACCTTTCTCTCAGACCTTCTCAGAAAAGGCTTCATGCAATTGTAGATAAATCTTTAGTAAAAATACTTTATTAAAATTTTTGATTTTTTTTGTATAAAATGATTTAGATTTTACTGAAAACTTGCCAAATTTCATGAACATATACATAGTAAACACAAAATAAGGTATTTATAGCTTGGCAGAAATGGGCTTAGTCCAATGAACCACAACCATTCTTAAAGTGTTAAAGGATTAGCATGATCTTTCAACATCCAGTTTACATAAATATGTTCTAAAATACATGGAAATTTAGAAAAATTACCTTAATATACCTGAATAAAGATGTATTCTATACTGATTATGAAAAGGTGAAATTAGAGGCTATTTCAACTACACCTCTATATGTTAAAAGCATTCAAATAACAAAGACACATAAGAGGTTCAGAATCAACTGCATGATACTCATCGGTTCCAAGACTATAACTTAATATTTTTAGATATGTATGTAATAACACAAAATACAATGTTCTATAGAGAATGGAAAATTACAATATCACTACCTGCATGTGTGCCGACAACCTCGCCAGTCTCAACGTCAACAAAGTTACCAGGTTTGGGTTTGACATAGTCTTTAATAAAATCTTGAAAGTTCCTCTTTCCTATAAAGCATATTCCTGTACTCTATCAAAATGAAAAAGATATAAAAACAAAATTACACAGAACCAATTCCACACAAACATTCGGAAAGATAATAGTGTAACATTCAATACTTGTACATAAAAATGGGAATAAAAACTACTAGAAAATGTCATTCAGTTTTCCATTTGAGAAACCACCATTATGTAATCAGAGACAAGTTTCTGCACCTTGTAAACAACAATGAAATAGTATTCCTACCTCCTTTTTCTTTGCAATATAATTCAGACCAGCATGAAGAGCTATTTTCTTCACTGAATTCTTCGTTATTCCTCCCAGTGGAAAAAGTGTCCTCTGGAGGCTTTTCTGAGGAACCTGTGATAAAAAGAAAGTCTGGTCCTTTCCACCATCAACAGCTTTCAACAAACGTACCCCTATAAAAAGCAAATGAAATACACTAGTCACTCTTCTTTCCTATCACTTCATTGACTGACTTACAATGCATCAGTCCATAACATGTTTCATTGGTTAATGTAGTAATTAAGAAATACACTAGTCACTCGTCTTTCCTATCACTTCATTGACTGACTTACAATGCATCAGTCCATAACATGTTTCATTGGTTAATGTAGTAATTAAGAAATACACTAATCACTCGTCTTTCCTATCACTTCATTGACTGACTTACAATGCATCAGTCCATAACATGTTTCATTGGTTAATGTAGTAATTAAGAAATACACTAGTCACTCGTCTTTCCTATCACTTCATTGACTGACTTACAATGCATCAGTCCATAACATGTTTCATTGGTTAATGTAACAATTTTAGTAACATCACCAAAACTGAATATATTGAGCTTTCTTGGTTTCTTTTTCTAATATATTTATTGATGTGCCTCAGAAAGCTATGCTGGGTTTGTTTGTGTTTCTCATTTACATTAATCATGTTGATAAGAGCATCATTGGGGAATTGGTTAAGTTTGCTGTGATTTTACAGAGAGATCCACATTAGTTTCTTAATTAGGTAAAACATATAAGATGGCATTTAATTATGATAAGTGTAAGGTTATATACATGAGTTATCATACTACAAAGTTATATACATAATGCAAATACAAATCGTCTTAATTAGGTGGATAATGAAAAAGATCTTCGGGCACCGGTTGCAACTTTTAAGCTTCTAAAGTATGACAGAAATAGTTGTTCCCATGCTAACACATGATTTGTGGAATCCTAGAACTACTGGCTGGAATTCAATTTTTTGATAATCTGCGTTAATTATAAGATTGTCTCCCAAATCATATTCCAAATTTTTTAAAATGTGAAATACAGATAAATATATAAAGATATCTGTAGCTTGGAAGATAGTATACAGAAAATGGTACCTATGGAATCTTATCAGGATAGATTTTGGCTGACAAATGACTCTAAAAGTTTTGTTAACATCCCATGTCTGAAATTAATGTTAAAAAGAAATTAAAATACCATAATCATGATGGGTGCTTGAACTTAGGAAACTCATTCTTACACTTTTCAAATCACGCACAAAAAAGATTCATTTTAACAAGCTAATAAGCACCGTTTGCATCTCAAGAAATCTCGCATGCCTCCCGAAGATACAGCAAAAAGTCTGCAGACTTATAATGCTAGTAACAAGGTTTCGACACCATTGGTATGCTCAGCTCAGGTAGCCCACTGTGTAGCTTTGAGCTTAACTACAAACAAACACTTACATGTACAGTAAAAAATGACCTTGGGAAAGGAAAGATATAATCCTAAACATTTGTAACATTAAGTGTATGGAATCTGCCTCAAATATTCCTGCCATGTTTCAAAGGTTTAAAGAATTAAGTAATTAATGTAAAATATAAATGATTAGAAAAGGCACATATTTAACAAAAACTTACAAACAATCTCATATGTATTTCTCGAATGGATTAAAGTTAACATTTTCCTACACTGAAAATGTATTTCTGAAAGATGGTGCCCTCTATATGCACAAATTTATGCTCACCACTAACCTTGATACTCTCACATGTATTCAAATGAGACATTTACATGTTATCATGCAACAACCCTCCATCAATAGGAGTGTGACACAACTTCTGTTTTCATTCATTCCCTCTGTTCCATGTAGCCCGTAATCAGTTTAAGTTTGGGCAGTACACAGAAAATCCAAACCAGCAGTGGAGAGTTCGGGTAGGAAATGTGAGGGGAGGTAAGTATCTATCAGAAATATAATTGCAGTGTAGGAAAATGTTACCTTCCGATATGATGTCTTACCTCTTCTTGCAAATAGCTAGAATCCCACAAACTTGGTAGAGGGTCTCGTGAGAAAATGATCCCTCTTTAGAAAGTGCCCAAGGGAAGACTATGGGGTGTGCAAATAATCAGATGGCAACACTCCCGTGGGAGACCACACCACTTTTGAGGTAAATGTACTCGTTGCCCACGTGAAAATGTGTCACAATAAGGGCAGAATCACAGGAGGGACTCTACCCCATGTGTGCAAATCCAACACAACCATCACCATATTTGCCAAGAACCAAGACATCTGGGGGATGGTAGGAAGATAGACAGAAAAGTGTGGGTGCCTCTCCAGTTTATCACCAGGCAGCATTGGGAATGTATCATCTAGTCTGCAGTAGGAGGAGGGTACCTAGCCACACACTTGTGTGAAATTAAGGGACCCCAGGTGTAGAGTGACTTGGGCATGTTGGACCATAAATGGGAGATCAAGCTCAACCAACACCAGTCCAACCAGAGTTGCAGAGAACCATGACTAATGAACACTGACTGTAAATGGGTTTTCAACAATGTATATTTACAAAGATAACAAGCGCTAAGACAAACTTACTTAAATTGGCAATTTTATAGATACCCTAACATTTTGACAATGTTTATTTGCTGGCTGAGATTGTAAAGATACCAAGCACTACAGCAAACATGCAACTGGGGATTATATAAACATTCTAACATTCTTCTTATCAAAGGGCTACTTTGACTGCAGTATTGCACAAACCTTAGTGCATATTATTTGTGGTGATAAGGCAAACTTGACTCTTTGTTTGTGAAGATTAGAGTGCATATTATATTTGGGAGCATCTTACATTCAGAAAATTATGGTACAATCTTTAAGACAGTCGTGCTTACTTTTATTTTCTTGATAATACTCCAAGTCTTCACCAAATGATGTTCTTGCATAATGTCCTGTTGCAATTGCATCAGCACCAAGGTTCTCAGTGGCATAATCATAGAAAATATTAAACTTTATTGATTTGTTACACAAAATGTCAGGATTAGGAGTAAGACCATTCTGGTAATCCTCAATGAGATCACTGGAATTACAAGACAATAATACAAAGTTAATATTAAGCAACAGCACCATGAAATCTTATCCCATTCAAAGCACACTTTTTTTGTAATAATGTTGTTTTTTTTACATATATTACTTCTGTCCCACATTCAAAACTTGAGTTATTATTTTTACTTCTAAAAATATTTCTATAAATTATAGTGATATAACACAACCACATAGATATGAGTGATAAGATACATTCATAAATTCATCTTAAAATTCTTGTTAATACTTGAGAAAAAATTACTGAAATTCAGAAACAGTAAAATTCCTGCCCATTTTTTTAAATACTTTTCTCAACAAAGTTTTTTATTAACCAAATAACATGAGTTAAAACTTTCTATCATCACTAGGTTCAATATCAATCATACACTCACATAAACATTTATTTGTTATTTACTTGAGTAAGGAAACACATTATGCTAATATAATAGTAGGTAGAAAGATGAGAAAGACCAATATTCTGTTCCATCGTCAACAAAACTCTTCTTTATGCTTATAAATCATTGTTTGCCTACCTTTTACTTACTTGTTTTTGTTAGTGTGCTCTACCCTTTACAACCATTGACCAAATATTTAACATATTCTAAATTTTGGTTTATTTTCTGGAAACTTACTAAAAAATAGGGACAGAAATTACTTTTTTCACATGGCAGCAAAATTTTGCTTCTTGATTCAATACCATGCAACAAATTAGAATATGTGATGGCATAATATAAAATTCCAAAATTTATATAACATATAAATATATGAGTAGTTAATATTGATGATTTTAATGTTATATGATTCATCTTTGCATAAAAGTATTCCTTATTTTTTAAATTTCAATCAAAACATGAATGTAAAAATCAAATCAAATACTAATATGCATTTCAGACAGATGTCAATAAATATGATTACAAACTTGTCAAACATTATTTGCTTAGACCATTATCTCTATTTTACACTTTTTTATAATTTTGCTTCTACATAAATGGTATTTTTTATGGTTAAGTTGATTTAATTCCTTTTCATCCGAGATACTTTGGAAAAATTCACTGTTTTGTTTTTCACAAAATAATAAATATCAAAACGATTTTCATAAGACTCATTATGAAATACATTTTATGTAAAATTCCAAGAACGTTGCCAAAAACTGCAGTTTTTCCTATAATTTTTAAAAAAATTATTAAATTTTCCATGGCTAAAGGTATGGTACCATATCCCAATCTCTTTGCTAAAGAAAAGGTAAATCATATTAATATTACATATATAATATTTGGATTAATATTCATATGTAAGTAAATCTTTTAAACATTTAAAACTAGAGAGGCACTTAGTAGAGTGCATACCTCTGCCACGCAGTATTGATCATATTTCGCTCTCAAAAAAGTACGAAAATGTGTCCATATGTCTGTCATTATTAATGGACACAAACCGTTTTTGGCAGGACAATAAGGAATAATATTCTACATACGTCCACCAAGTTTCATCAAAATCCAATCATTTTTGACTGAGATATAGAGCAAAAATAGTGTGAAAAATCAGTTCCCATATTAACAGAGTTCAAACGTATACCAACTTTCATCTAACTCCATTCAACCAGTTTCACAAAAATCTTGTTGACACACACACACAGGGGTGAAAACGTAACATCCATCTATCTTCAGCGGGAGATGTTATAATTCTCAACCTTCACTCTTCTGTGTCACATGATATGTCTGCCCTTTGAATTCTCCATTTCAGATTTTATAACTTCAACAATACAGTTTCTGTAGCACCAAACCAATAACATAGTGACAAAGAAGACTATAAAATTTGGACTTCCTTCCTTCTTGATTTGCTGAGATATCAATAAATTTGTTAAACCCACTAGGGAATGCCCTCATACCTCATTATTATTCACTCATGCCTACTTGTCTGATAGACATGTTTGTAATCAATAGAAATAATATATTTTAATGTACATGAATCTTAATGTCAATTTTTTTTAGCTTTGGTAGTCAAAGATTTTAACTTGCTTAAAAAGTTTGGTGTGTGTTGAGTAAAGCCATTGCTCTTCACAGTAATGGAATTTTTTTAATCTATTTATGGTTTAATTAGAGAGCCAGGTAAATTACAGTAGTTTTGGGACATTCTGTTCTAGTGCTTGATATATTTTTGTGTCTTAAAATACATATTTTTTATGAATTATTTTTGGACAACCAACACAGTGGGAAAAAATGATGGGTTACTGAAGCCTAGCATCCGAGTGCAAATGGTTTCAATACATAAAGTACTAAATTTCTTCTTATTTTTTATGCATAGTTTTATTTATTCTTTTTCGTATCTTTTTTAAAAATTAACTCAATCTGTAAAAATTAGGAAGTTCCTAGGTCAGGTAACAAGATAAGTAAAATATAATTTTATATAATTTGATGAGGAAGCTAGAAAACTCTCATGGTTAGCATCTGACAGTAAACTGATTAATTGTTTACCCTAAGCGGTAACTAGAACATTCCCATGTGATTTATTCCTTTTCATGCAGAGAACAAAGTACACTAATAAAACCATAAGATTAATAAAGGAGGTTTGGAAAGGTTAGAAACTGAATATGGTAGAATAAATAAATGTGATGTCTGTTACAATCTGCAGTCACTCTAGAAAAAAAAATGTATTATTGATTGTATTTTGTATTTTTAAACTCTTCTTTTCACTGTACATTAAGAATTTCTCAACAGTTAGTGTTAGGATAAAGAAAATAAGAAATAAAATATAAAGTGTTACCCAAAAGTTAACATTTTCCTCCATTGAAAATGTATTTCTTATAGATACTTACCTCTTTTCCCAAATAGCTTTTCTCGACTTATACTGTCCTCCTTGATACTCCCATTTACTTTACCCTCATGTGAAACATCTGCACGCTATCATGCAAATGACCATGCAGCAACCACCCACCAATAGGTGTGTGATACAACTCCTATCGTCACTAGTGCCCTCTCTTCTGTGCAACCTATAATTATTTTTGAGATAAGGCAGTAAATAAAAAATCTACACCAGAAGTGGGAAGGTTGGGTGGGTGGGAAATGTGAGCGGAGGTAAGTAACTATCAGAAATACAATTTCAGTGTAGGAAAATGTTACCTTCCAATATGATATCTTACCTCTTCTTACAAATAGCTATAATCCAACATTGAGTTAGCAGAGGGAGTGGTGAAAAGACAATCCCCCTTTAGAAAGTGTCCAAAGGAAGACCATGAGGTGTGGAAATAGACAGAATGCAACACCACTGTGGGAAACTACACCACTTCTGAGCCAGGTATTCTTTTCGTCCATGTGAAAATGTTTTGCAATAAGGGTAAAATCGCAGGAGGGACCCTCCACTCATGTGTGCACATCCAAAACAACCATCACCATATCCACTGTGAACTAACATCCAAGGGGCAGTAGGAAGGTGGACAGCAAAGAGGTGGTGCATTTCCAGTCCATCACAAGGCAGCATTGGGAATGTATTATCCAGTCCACAGTAGGAGGAGGGTACCCAGCCAAACACTTGTGTGAAATTAATGGACCCCAGGTGTAGAGTGACTAGGGCATGTTGGACCATAAAAGGGATATCAACTCAACCAACACCAGTCCAACCATGATAGAAATATCTGGCTCACAGTATGAAGAGGGTCCTCCACCTTTCACCTTGGATATGGGAACTGGAAGGGAAGATGAGCCTCTGTAACAAGGATCCACATCATCATGTGTATATATCCAGTTCCACTCATCACCATATCCACTGGGCACCAACATTTGGGGACAATAGGAAGGAGGGTGCTTCAGTTGAAGGGGCAAACTGCATGTTGGTGGAATGCATCATCCAACACCTAACAACTGGAATTGCACATCAGGTCCAAAGTAGAATGAGTTTCAACAGCATCTACATCGGCAGAACAACACCACCCTACTCTCAACTGAGTGGGAATTAACACACTAAGAAGGAAGCCTTCATCATCCACCACTCCAACAGCTAGTAACTGGTAAGTGGAAAGGACTCTCATACTCCACTATAGGAAGGGGGAAACAGAGCACTGAACAGTCTAGAGGAACGCTACACTGGAGACAGCACAATGGGTGACTGTGATCTTATTTTGAAAAGCAGACCAATCAAGTGACCTACAATACATGGGTCATCAGGAATAGGCAACAATCCCATTTGCTTTACTTATGTTAGTCCATGAGTGTACGATCAGGAGGCAAACATCTTTATAAAGCAAAATACTGCAAGAAATACCTACAAGTAGTCTTGTAGAACACCCCATTTCAACAGTGGGTGCATTTAAGAATAAGTATACATGGTCAAGCAACACTCACCACAAAATGGGATCCTAAGACATAAAAAAAGGGGCCCTGCAAAGAAAAGGTAGAAAAAAGGGTGCACTTACCCACTCATAGACATTGAACAAAAAATGGTGATGGAAGGAAGCTGAAAATCTTTAGAACAGGAAATAACCAGGTGGTGAAGATAGTGATGCTATGAGTAGGAGTCCACATACTGGTACAAATGATGTCCTCCAACAGATAATGAAAATGAGCAGTCCAGGACATGGTAAGGTGACAGATTTGACATGAAGAGACACAGAAAATATTATAAACATCTGGTGAGAGGGGAAAAATAAATAAGGCAAAGAAGCTAGCAAATCCAAGCCATAAGGGGAATAGGAGAAAGGTCATGGAACTGGGATGCATTCGAAATTACAAACAAACAGGAACCATGAAAAGAAGTGGTGCACACCATGAAACAGTGGGAAGCCCTGACCAGACAGAGGAGGCAAGCAGGGTCAGAATGGTCATAAAGGTGTGATATGGAAGGAAGGGAGATGGATGTGAAGGTGAAGAGATAAATAGATTAATAAAAAACAGTAAGAAGGTGAATTTATAAAGAGAACAATAGACTAATAAAAACAGTAGCTGAAGTTTTGGGTAGGAAAGAATGAATAAAGAAAAGGATCATGTTAGAAAAGTAAAATATGGT